ACAAAAGCTTATTGAACACCCAACAAGCAAGATCCCAGGAGAAACACTTCTAGACACATTATAGTAAAAATGATGGATCTGAATAATAAGGAAACAATCCTGCATGCAGCAAAAATGAAGAAGGAGCTATACTACAATGAGAAAAAAAATAGAATCACTGCAGATCTCTCCACACAAACAATGAATGCAAGAAAAGCCTGGGAAAGCACCATACGAGCGCTGAGAGCCAATAACTGCCAACCCAGACTGATATACCTGGCAAAGCTAGCATTCACATTCGATGGAGAACTGAAAACTTTTAATAGCAAAGAAAAACTAAATGAATACATAAACATTAAGCCAGCATTACAAAGAATTCTAAGAGGGGGGACACAACCTGAAGAAAGCAACCAGGAACTGGGACTGCCCCAACAGGCATTACTCAAAGTCTAACTGAGCAAGCACAGGAGGAAAGGAAAGAAGAAAAACTTGGGAAAACGGAATGGCAGGGACAACAATGCATCTCTCTATACTTTCTCTTAATATAAATGGGCTAAATTCGCCAATTAAAAGAAAACGAACTGAGGACTGGATCAGAAAACAAGACCCATCCATCTGTTGCCTTCAGGAGACCCACCTCTCAGCCAAACATACAAACAAACTCAGAGTGAAGGGGTGGAAAAGGATCTACCAATCAAATGCCCCCAGTAAGAAAGCAGGTGTAGCTATCCTGATATCTGACAAAATAAACTTTTCATTAAAATCGGTACAGAAAGACAAGGACGGACACTACATATTAATAAAGGGAACAATCCAAGAGGAGGATATAACCATCATCAACTTATATGCCCCAAATATTGGTGCACCCAGATATGTCAAACAAATGCTCTCAAACTTACAGGATAAAATAGATCCCAATACGATAATACTAGGAGACTTTAACACGCCACTCTCACCAAAGGACAGGTCTACCAACCAGAGGATTGGCAAAGAAGCTACCGAATTAAGTGAGGCCATACTTCAAGCGGAATTAACTGACATCTACCGAGTATTTCACCCTAAAACAACACAGTACACATTCTTCTCAGCAGCTCATGGAACTTTCTCCAAAATAGACCATATCGTAGTTCATGCAAGGAACTTAAGCAAATACAAAGGGATCGACATAATCCCCTGTATCCTATCTGACCACAGTGGAATCAAGCTAGCCCTCAATAACAAAGCATACCGCAGAAATTTCTCTAATACATGGAAATTGAACAGCACACTCCTTAACAATGCCTGGGTAACAGAAGAGATCAGAGAAGAAATAAAGCATTTCCTACAACTCAATGAAAATGAAAACACCACACAAAGAAACGTGTGGGACACAGCAAAAGCAGTCCTGAGGGGCAAATTTATTGCCCTCAGTGCCCACATCAAGAGAATGGAGACAGACCAAGTAAATAATCTCAAGTTGCAACTAAAACAGCTAGAAAAACAAGAAAAAATGGGACCTAAAGCTACTAGACGAAGCCAGATAACCAAATTAAGAGCAGAGATTATTAACCAATTAGAAAATCAGAAAACCATAACCAAAATAAACCAAACAAAAAGCTGGTTCTTTGAAAAAATAAACAAAATTGATGGCCCGTTGGCAAGATTAATTAAAAAAAGAAGAGAGGAAACCCATATTAATAGGATTAGGGATGCCACTGGAAAATTCACAACACATACCCAAGATATCCAAACAATTCTAACAGACTACTTTCAAAAGCTATACTCTCTAAAGGAAGAAAATCTGGCAGAAATGGATGCATTTTTAGAGAATTACAAGTTACCCAAACTGAGCAAAGAAGAAGTTAACCAATTAAATAAGCCAACATCCTATAATGAGATACAGGAAGCTATCAAAAGTCTTCCAACAAAAAAAAGCCCAGGACCAGATGGATTCACAGCAGAATTCTATAAGACCTTTAAACAAGAACTAATACCCATACTCCTCAAGCTCTTAAGAGAAACAGAGAAGGAGGGAGCTATCCCAAACTCATTCTACGAAGCCAATATCACACTCATCCCCAAACCAGGCAAAGACCCAACCAAAAAGGAGAATTACAGGCCAATTTCCTTGATGAACACAGATGCAAAGATCCTTAACAAGATTCTAGCTAACAGAATCCAGAAACACATAAAAAAAATAATACACTATGATCAGGTAGGCTTCATCCCAGAGACACAGGGATGGTTTAACATACGTAAGTCAATAAATGTAATCCAACATATCAACAGAGCCAAGGTCAAGAATCACATGATTATCGCCACAGATGCAGAAAAGGCCTTTGATAAAATTCAACATTCATTCATGCTAAAAGCTCTGGAGAAAATAGGAATAGAAGGAACATTTCTAAAAACAATAAAAGCCATTTATGACAGACCAATAGCCAATATTATACTTAATGGGGAAAAGCTACAACCAATCCTCTTAAAATCAGGAACAAGGCAAGGATGCCCACTGTCTCCACTCCTCTTCAACATAGTCCTAGAACCCTTAGCCAGGGCAATAAGGCAAGAAAAAGACATTGAAAGGATCCGCATAGGGAAAGAAGAAGTTAAACTATCCCTTTTTGCAGACGACATGATACTATACCTCCACGATCCCAAAAACTCCATCCCCAAACTTTTAGAAATCATAAGTCACTTCGGCAAAATAGCAGGATACAAAATAAACCCACAAAAATCAGTTGCCTTCCTATACACTGATAACGTACAGGAAGAGAGGGAAATAAAGGGAGCAACCCCATTCACAATAACCTCCCAAAAAATAAAATATTTAGGAATTAACCTAACCAAAGATGTAAAAGAACTATTTAATGAGAACTATAAAAAGTTAAAGAAAGAAATTGCAGAAGACACTAGGAAATGGAAAGAGCTCCCATGCTCCTGGATAGGCCGACTTAATATAGTAAAGATGGTGATACTTCCAAAACTAATATACAAATTCAATGCAATTCCTATTAAAATCCCAATGACGTACATCACTGAAATACAGAAAACAGTGCAAAAATTTATATGGAACAACAAAAGACCTAGAATAGCCAAAACAATTCTAGGGGATAAAGACAATATGGGAGGGCTATCCATGCTGAACTTCAAACTCTACTACAGAGCTATAATAACAAAGACAGCATGGTACTGGCACAAAAACAGACCCGAAGACCAATGGAACAGAATAGAAGATCCAGATATAAATCCACAGGCCTACAGCCAGCTGATATTCGACAAAGGAGCCAAAGACATACAATGGAAGAAACACAGCCCCTTCAACCGCTGGTGCTGGGAAAACTGGGCAGCCACATGCAGAAAACTAAAAGTGGACCCCAGCCTATCACCATGCACCAACATCAACTCAAAATGGATTAAAGACCTTAACATTAAACCTGAATCTCTGAAACTACGGCAGGACAGAGTAAGAGAGACACTTGAACTAATAGGCACAGGAAGGAACTTCCTGAACAGAGTCCCAGGGTCACAACAAGTTGGAGAGAGACTCGACAAATGGGACTACCTTAAAATAAAAAGCTTTTGCACAGCTAAATCTATCGCAACTAAGCTAGAAAGACAACCAACTAATTGGGAAAAAATATTTACCAGCAATATATCAGACAAGGGGTTAACATCCTGTATATACAGGGAACTCAAGAAACTAATCCCTCCCAAACCTAACAAACCAATTACTAAATGGGCAAGGGAACTAAAGAGGGACTTCTCAAATGAAGAAATAAAAATGGCAAAGAAACACATGAGGAAATGTTCATCATCCCTGGTGGTGAAGGAAATGCAAATAAAGACAACCCTGAGATACCACCTTACCCCAGTCAGAATGTCCCACATACACAAATCAGCCAACGACAAATGCTGGAGGGGATGTGGAGAAAGAGGAACCCTATTATACTGCTGGTGGGAATGTACACTTAAACAACCACTTTGGAAAGCAGTCTGGAGGGTCCTTAGAAAGCTAAAGATTGACCTCCCTTACGACCCAGTCATACCACTTCTAGGCATCTACCCTGAACAACAGGAACCAATATACAAGGACACGTGCACCTCCATGTTTATTGCAGCACTGTTCGCAATAGCTAGGATATGGAAACAACCTAGATGCCCCACCACAGATGAATGGATCCAAAAATTGTGGTATCTATACACAATGGAATATTATGCAGCCATTAGAAATGACAAAATAATGGCATTTGCAGGGAAATGGATGGAGCTAGAAGGAATCATGTTGAGCGAGGTAAGCCAAGAACGAAGAGACAAACATACATGGTCTCCCTGATAAGTGGATGCTAAATCCAAAATGTTAGGTAATAAGACAAAACTAACAGGACTTAAGAAACAAAGAACTCCCGCTCATCTGGTTGAACCACTACTAAATATCCCCATGCTGCTGATCACAAATATGGTATATAACATGTTAACACTGTTATATATTACAGACTGTGATAGACAATTTGCTCCAGGAAAGTTAGAATGAACTTGTAACTTTGAAATTATGTAATCACTTAATCACAATCAAAAAAAAAAAAAAAGAACCTCGGGGAAGGGAAGGAGAGAGGGGATGGTAGGGGGAAAACAATGGAGTGGGTAACAATGTTCAAGAGGAAGTGTACTCATTACCTTACTCATGTAACTGTAACCCTCTCTATAGTATCTTTACAATAAAAAAAAATAATACAAGTCCTATAAAATTTTTATAAATTAAGAATCTACCTTAATAAAGGCTAAATTTCAACTACATTACTTTAAAAATCTTCAAAACTTGCAGCAAGTTGAAATAATACCGTGAATATTATCCTCCGAACTTAGCCTCTTAAATAGCTAGAATTACTGGCATGAACCACTGGAGCCCAGCCAGAATATATACTTTTAAATAGAATTTTGCCAAAAAATATTTCACAAATCAAATAGCGGCCCCATAATCTATTCCATAAATCTATACTTTTAATATAACATTTGAAACAAATTTTTTTCTTTAAACAAACTTCTCTGGTTTGCAGCAGGCTAGTAAGTTCTTGTTCTTTTCCTTTTAATTCTTCAACAATCTTCTCAATTTGTTTCTTTTCATCTAACAGCTTTTGATCTTCTGCCTGTTTTAAAAATATTGGCAAATTGTGAGATCCAAATTTCAGATATTTTGAAAATAATTAAACTGCCCAAAGAAAATTGTAAGCTTCCTTTTGGCTAAAATTCCTTTAAAGATAAAATAAACCTTTATTAACAAAGTCAAAAAATGAGTATGGTGACAAAGAATTTAATAGAGCCCTGGAATAAAGATGGGGGAGATGGGGGGTGGTGTGTGTGTGTGTGTGTGTGTGTGTGTGTGTGTGTGTGTGTGTGTGTGTGTGTGTGTGTGTGTGTGTGTGTGTGTGTGTGTGTGTGTGTGTGTGTGTGTGTGTGTGTGTGTGTGTGTGTGTGTGTGTGTGTGTGTGTGTGTGTGTGTGTGTGTGTGTGTGTGTGTGTGTGTGTGTGTGTGTGTGTGTGTGTGTGTTTCCTGAACTCACTTCATGGGCACTCCCCTAAGGTTTGTTTTTTGTTTTTGTTTTTTTTTTGCTTAAGGCTAGCACCCTACCACATCAATCCTCCTTTATCCTTATAGTATACTAAAATGTGTTTCCCTAAATGTATCATGCAATACTCACTGTTCTTTCTTCCATAGTCATGTATGTTTAATTCCTCTTTCACATGATAAATGGCAAAAAACTAATGAGAGCTGTCATCACTTCCTTAGTTTTCTCAAGTGTTCTAAAATCTCTAGTTTTTATTCCCATTTTTCCCTATGAAATGATTCTGAATTAACCTAGTTCCTAAAATAGCTCATTGTGTCAAGTAAATTAGAGAATTTAAGTCCTTAACCCTAAATATTCAAAAAATAACACCTAGAACTAAATAAAATGAATTTGAAAGGGAAGAACTGAAGAGCTAAGAAAATAACTCAAGAAAAAAACATAAATAATGAAAAAATGCTGAGTCTAATCACAAAGAAAATGCAAATCAAAACCAGTAAGAGATGTCATCTGACCCCAATTTAAAATGACTATCAAAAAGACCAAAAAAAATATATGTACATTTATATATATATATATATATATATATATATATATATACGAGATATATATATTTATATATATATATATATATATATACGAGAGAATGCAAATGTTGGCAAAGCTATTATTAATTCTAGTATTATTTTTCTCTTTCCTTTTTATTAGTATTGTTGTTATAATTATTTATAGTTTTTCAATTGTTTTTATCTATTTCCTTATGCAGTGATAGTGATTAAAGCCTGAAACTTCATAGTTTACAAAGGTGCTCTAACACTAAGCTATATTCTCATCTCAGAGAAGAACTGACCTTATTTCCATCCCTAAACTAGTCCTGCTTAAATCTTAGTGGGTATCTCAACTTAACAGGAAGGAAGCAGGGCACTGGTAGCTCAGACCTGTAATCCTAGCTACTCAGAAGGCTGAGATCTGGGAACTGCAGTTCAAAGCCAGCCCAGACAGAAAAGTCCATGATACTCTAATCGCCAATTAAAAAAAAAAAAAAAAAAAAAGGCGGAAGTGCTACAATGGCTCAAGTGGCAGAGCACTAGCCTTGAGCAAAAAGAGCTCAGGGACAGGACCCAGGCCCAGAGTTCAAGCCTCCAATCAAAGATAAGAACAAAAAAAAGAATAGGAAGGAGTGAGGCCCCGGTGATGACATAGTTCAATTATATAACAATTATATAATTGATATTAATAAAAATATACTGTAATTAATATAACTATAATGAAGCCTTATCCTACAAAATCATTAAATATTATTCTACATGAATACTAAAAATAGGTACTGAATAAATACGTTGCATATCTTTTTTAAAATTGAATCTTTGTGGAACAAAATCCAATTTGGACACTCCAATTTCTCATTTCAAGTTCCTAGAAATTTCTTTCTTATCTCCAAGTAAACCTTGTACCTAACTCCAAGGTATTAAGAAATCTTTTTGAACTCAAAGATCAACATAACTATTTTGTGACGTAATTCTGTTTTATTTATAAAACTTTTTAATACTGTACACTACTAAGCACTATCTACTCTGGTTACCAACCAAAAATACTTAATATTTATTAACTACCTGCATAGCCATTATTTAAATGTGCCATCAACATTATATATTTTGACCCAAAAACCACACGTAAAAAAATTATTACATTATGGCTGTAGGTTTAAAACCAAATGTATTTTTATATTTTAGCTTAAAATTAGTATAAAATCTTCATATTTTAAGAGCCCAAGTCAGTGAACTCAGTATTATTTTGGAAGATAATTTTATAATATATATATATATAAAATATATTTAAAACTATATACTTACCAAGACTTTTTTCAGTTCTTCAAATTCTACTTCTTTGTTAATTTTAAACTTAGTCATTTCTTCTGAAATAAGCAAAAGAATATGAATATGTTAAAAGCTAGATTAAAATAGTAGGAAATCAAAGAGAAGAAATAATGTCTTCTGAAAGGGAAAAAATAAAGAGATAGATTAATATAAGTAGAACATATAAGCCTGGAATAAACATATAGTAACTTCAAATCAACTATGCAAAAGTAATAATGCACAGCTGAAAGAAATGGTGCCTTCCTGCAAATCAGAGGATGAAGGTGAAAGAATCAGGAATTTGAAGCCAGCCTGAGATATATAGTGAGACACAGTCTCAAAAAAATTCAATAGTAAGCCGGATGCTGGTGGCTCACACCTGTAATCCTAGCTACTCAGGAGGCTGAGATCTGAGGACTGCGGTTCAAAGCCAGCCCGACCAGGAAAGTCCGTGAGATTCTTATCTCCAAAAAGCCACTAGAAAACCGGAAGTGGTGCTGTGGCTCAAGCAGTAGAGCGCTCACCTTGAGCTGAAGAGCACAGGGACAGTGCCCAAGCCCAGAGTTCAAGCCCCACAACTGACCAAAAAAACCCCCCAACAATTCAATAGTAATAGCTGATAAATATTAATAGCAATGTTTCCATAAGGTTAATTCCATAGCCAAATGAGCCTCAAATTCATAAAGCAAAATATGCAATGAGCTACATAAAATATATTAAAATATAGTCTATATGTGTGTCTTTACCCCCAATTTCTCAGAGACTTTAACTACCATTACTAATATATACCAACTCTAAGTAGAAAAAATTTTGATTTCTCCTACTACACCTCAACACCCTGTTTGAATATAAAACAAAAATATTTGATTAATCTATCTGCTCATTCAATATGTCAGATTTCTCACTTTTTCAAATTCCAGTTAACTGGACATTTTCTTGAATCCTTATGATATTAATAAAAATAATAGAATTGTATTAACTTGCCTATCTCCCTTATGTTAACAAAATTATAATCTCAAATATCAATTATAGCTGTTTTACAATGTAATTTTCTGTCTTTATCATCTGAAGCTTGGTAAGATTTGATATTAAGAACATTCTACTATTTTTACTTTACCAAGACCTTGCATTATGTTCATTTCCTGTTTCCTCCCTAAGTCCTACTTTCTTTTGTAACACCTTTCCTCCCTGCCACCCTAAAAAATAGTGCTTTGCAATGCTTTTCTGTACTTCTGAGTAGGACATTATGCTAATAAATTAAAAGGTCTGTTCAGACTAAATCTCCTATCCTTTTTTCTTAAATTTTAAACTACCTACAAAATTCCCTCTTATATCTACCTATAACCTGAATGTTTGTATAGGGCCTGAAACATAGTTTTGCTCACCATTAACCATTATTAATAATTGGACATACAACAGAATTATTGAAAAATTTCAGTCTAAATATTTAAAAGAACTTGTAATAATGTCTATGATGTTTAAAGAAAAACCAATAAAATATATAATGCCCATTCATAATCTAAGAGAAAAACTTGTCACTTGCAAAGTTTATTTAAACAAAGAATTTCATTTTAGATGAAAATAATTTATTTTTGCCAGGCCTGGGGCTTGAACTCAGAGCTTGGACACTGTCCCTGAGCCTCTCTGGTGCTCAAGGCTAATGGTTCTACCACTTGAGCCACAGAGCCACTTCTGGCTTTTTCTGTTTATATGGTACTAAGGAATCAAACCCAGGGCTTCGTGCATGCTAGGCAAGCACTCTACCACTAAACCGCATTCCCAGCCCACTAATATATTTTTTAAAAACTTAAGGACTAAGCCAGGCACCCAGTGGTTCATGCCTGTAATGCTACTCAGGAGGCTGAAGATTTAAATCATGATCTGAAGATCACAATTTGAAGCCAGTCCAAGCAAGAAAGTCTGTGAAACTCTTACCTCTACTAAACTCCAAAAACCAAGCCAGAAGTGGAGCTGTGACTAAAGTGGTAGAGTGCTAGCCTTGAGCAAAAAGATGCTCAACTAGAGTGCCCAGGCCCTGAGTCCAAGCCCCAGGACCTGCACCACCACCACCCCCCAAAAAAAATAAAAAAAAAAATGACTAAAGTTAATGGACTGAGTATGTTTCTATATTCTCACCTAGATCCCATAAAATTAAAAGCAGATATAAGGAAAAGTGCATATGTGTGTATACACACATATTTGCACAAATGCAGAGAATAACCAGGGAATAAAATAATAAGTTACAAAGTAAAAGCAAATCAAACAAACTGCTAAATATATGCAGTGAGGTAGAAGGAAAGAGTGGTTTGATGGCTAATTTAACATTCTGTGTTCCATTGGGTTATTCACAATTATTACCTAAGCTAAAAGAATGTGTATAAATTCTAATAGCAAAAAAACATAATTTATCTGGATTTGAACTATTCAGGGTCAGTGAAGATGAAAAAAGCTCTGAGTTGGCCGGGCGCTGGTGGCTCACGCCTGTAATCCTAGCTACTCAGGAGGCTGAGATCTGAGGATCGCGGTTCAAAGCCAGCCCGGGCAAGAGAGATTGTGAGACTCCTATCTCCAATAAACCACCAGAAAACCGGAAGTGGCGCTGTAGCTCAAGTGGTAGAGCACTCGCCTTGAGCTGAAGAGCTGAGGGACAGCCCCCAGGCCCAGAGTTCAAGCCCCACGACCGACAAAAAAAAAAAAAAAAGCTCTGAGACCTCTAAGAGAAGAAGCTCTTCAATTAGTTTCAACTTATAAGTAAGATACTAAGAATCAGGGCTGGGAAGGTGGCTCAGTGGTAGAGTTCTTGCCTTGCATGCCTGAGGCCCTGGGTTCGATTCCTCAGCACCACATAAGCAAAAAGAAAAAAGCTGGAAGTGGTGCTATGGCTCAAGTGGTAGAGTGCTAGCCTTTTGCTGAAGAGCTGAGGGACAGCGCCCAGGCCCAGAGTTCAGGCCCCACGACCAGACCCCCCCCCCAAAAAAAAAAGATACTAAGAATCAGAAACAGGGACAAATAGTGAATAAATGGCAGCAGTAACCTCTCTACAAACTATGTTGAAAATGAACTATACAACTGTGGGTAAGGAGAGAAAAATTGGGAGAGAAAAAGGGAAGGCCTGATATTGTTCAAAAGGAATGTAATATTTATCTGACTTATATAACTAACCCCTCTGTACATCACCTTTACAAATAACAATAAATAATTTTTTAAAAAAAGAATCAGAAGCAATACTAGATGCCAATTAAAAGTGGGGGACCAAGATGGCAACGGGGCAGTAGGGAAACGCCACAGCTCTCCCCAACCAAAAAGAGTGTTTGAGTTCCAACGCTTAATCTCCCCAAGAGACCGACAACAACAAAAAGATGAACACCCAGAGAAAGTCAGGAGGTGGAAAATAACAAAAAAGAGAGAAAAAGAATAATTTCAGAACAGAGAAGCGTGAAGACCCCTCCCCCACAAGCAGTGGCCAGCCAGCCCAGCAGGGGCTGCTAGAGTCCCAGAGACACAGGGGTCTGCCTGCAGATCACCCATGCAGAAGCCGCTGGTCTGCAGACCTGCTGATTGAACAGAGAAACCTACCATCTGGGAGTCTGCACCAAGATCCCACCCTCACTCCTCACTCTCCATTCGAGCAAAGAGGCTCCATCCTGCCAAAGCCACTTGACCCCACGGCGGGAACCCCAGAGCTACATGGGATGCCCACAGAACACCAGAGCACAAGACTTGCAAGGAACTGGTACGAATCCAGAGAGCACAAACAGAGACAAACCCTAGGGCTTAGAACCTACAAGAAGGCTGCAGAGTCCCAGAGACACAGGGGGCTGTCTGAAGATAACCACGCAGAAGCCGCCTGAGGTACCGGTGTCAGACCTGTCGGTTGCGACAAACGGAGAAACCTCTGAGCCCAGAACTCGGCCCCATGACGGGAGCCCCAGAGCTACACTGGTCACCCACAGAACACCAGAGCAGAAGACCTGCAAGGAACTGGTGCTGATCCATGAGAGTGCAAACAGACAAACCCCAGCGTTCAGAACCTGTACAGAGGCCCCCCACCCCTGGGGCAGAGGCCAGAGGCCCATCCCGTAGTGCGGACCAGGCAGAGATAGAAGAGAATCACACAGAGCCACCACCGCCCAGCTCAGCCCGCAACCACCCCAACTGAACGCTGATTGCAACGGCAACCAACGACCTACATCATACAGAAACAACTAGCTCCAGGGTGAGTACCCTGCAGGGGACAGTGTATCCCTCAAGGGAGACCAGAGCTGGTGGGAAAACCCAGACCCTGACCCAGACTCCCTACCCCAACACCTGGACCACAGGACTCACTAAAACTGGGAACTGTTTGAGAGCTCCACCAGCCCGCAGAGCACACTCAACTGGCCAGGCTAGAACAAAAGCGCCCCTGGAAGGGAGCTTAAACGCCCAAGCCAGGAACAGTGCCCCTGGGTCAAGACACCCAACAGTAGAAGAAATTTGAACTGTGTACCCCAGACTGCATAACCTAGTTGGTATACACAGCAGCACAGGCCCAACCGGCATGCCCCAGGTGGGGGGCTGGGACCAGGCCTGGGGATCCGGTGCCTGAGCAACACAACCAACTCCTCCCAACTGAAGTGAGAAGCTGAGCATACGCCTCAGCAGAAGGAGAAAAACAGGGAACTGCACTCCCTGGGAAGCATGCCTGTGACAACAAAAGACCCCGGGACTCAGGACAAGAGAAGCCCAACCCCACCAGAACCCGACATATATATTCTAGGCTGGGAATTGGACAACACAGGCTGCCAGCACCTGATAGTAGGCAGGAGCTCAGGCTGGTAAGGTGGCTCAGCAGCAGAGTGCTAGTCTTGGGCGCATGAGGCCCTGGATCTGATTCCTCAGCACCACATAAGCAGAAAGGGCCAGAAATGGTGCTGTGGCTCAAATGGTAGGGTGCCAGCCTTGAGCTGAAGAGCTGAAGGACAGTGCCCAAGCCTAGAGTTCAAGCCTACAACCGGCCAAAACAAAAAACAAAAAAAAAATCATCAGGAGCCCATAGCAGACTCCAGTTTCTGGGAGAGTG